AGTGTTCTATGTATTTCATAATTTCTCAAGTTAATCCTTGAGTTTATGTTCACTTTATGTTGTTTTTCACTTGAGTTTTCATCTTTACATCATCAAATTGGTATCAGAGCTTGCAGTTCTTGAGGGATCTGTGAGAAATCTTAGAGAGGTGTGAGAGAGTGAAACACGAGTGACAAGTGAGGGAGAGAATCTTGCTCTTCTACAGCATTTCAGAATGTCTTCTTCTTCAACAAATTCATTTTCTTCTCCTCCAATGTTCAATGGAGAGAATTATGATTTCTAGGCTATTAGAATGAAAGCCTTCCTCAAAGGGAATGATTTCTGGGAAGTCATCGAGCATGGTTTCCAACTTCCTTTTCCACAAGAAAACCCAACAGTGGCACAAATGAAGAGAAACGCAGAGTATAATGTAGGTACATACAGAGCACTTTCTTTTCTGCATAATGCAGTGGCAAATGATATTTTCCCCAAAATTGCATCTTGCCAAAATGCACATGAAGTCTGGGAAGCACTTAAAGAAGAGTATGAGGGGAGTGCTAGAGATAAAAGTGTGACACTGTTAACTCTCAAACGAGAGTTCAAATTGTTGAAGATGAAGGAAACTGATACAATACGTCAGTATTCTTCAAAATTAGTTGATTTGGTCACTCAAATTCGAATGCAGGGAGAGAGATTTCCTGATTCACGAGTGGTCGATAGGATGTTGGTTAGTCTTCCTGATAGATTTGAACCTAAAGTTGCTGCAATTGAAGAGTCTTGTGACTTGAGTAGGCTTTCCGTTAAAGCACTCATTGGAAAATTGCAAGCTCATGAAAAAAGACTTGCAATGAGATCTGAGGAAAGTGTTGAAGGAGCATTTCAAGCTAAGCACAAGGGAAAATATTTAGTTGCAAGATCAGATTGGCAGCAAGAAGCTAACAAAGTGGAGAAAGGCAAACACCAAGCTGAATGTTCTAGAAATTTTGACAAGAGAGACAAATTTCCTCCTTGTCCAAACTGCAGAAGGACAAATCACCTTGAAAAAGACTGTTGGCACAAAGGAAAGCCACGGTTTTATTGTAAGAATTGCAAGAAACATGGCCATACAGAAAAATTCTGCAAAGCTAATCAAGTGCAGTACAGGCCTAAGCAAGTGCAGCAGGCTAATTTCATAGAAGATCAGAATGAGGAAGATTATATGTTTGTGGCTATGCATAGTTGTTTTGTGACTTTAGAGGATTCATGGTATGTTGATAGTGGTTGTACAAATCATATGGTCAGAGATGTGAAGCTGTTTACAAAGCTGGACAGGTCTATTCGAACAAGAGTCAGACTTGGCAATGGTTATGTAGTGCAAGCAGAAGGCAAGGGTAATGTCTCAATTCAAACTAAGGAAGGCATTAAAACTATCACTGATGTTCTGTACATTCCTAGTTTGAGTCAAAACTTGCTAAGTGTTACACAATTAATGAAGCATGGATATTCTGTACATTTTAAACAAGATGTATGTCAGATTTTTCATTTGCATGGTTCTGAGGTTGCTAATGTGAAAATGGTGGATAATAGCTTTCCTCTAATGTGGAGTGATGTTAAGCAGCATGTTCTGATTTCTAAAGAAGATGAGACTACCTTGTGGCATAGGAGATATGGTCATTGCAATGTTAAAACTTTGAAGTTTTTGCAATCTTCTCAACTTGTAAGAGATTTGCCATAAATTTATGTCAATAATGATGTATGTAAGAGCTGTCAACTTGGAAAAATTCATAGAACAGCTTTTCCCACAAGTAAGGCATGGAGAGCAAGTCAGAAACTTGAATTGGTGCATACGGATTTGTGTGGTCCTATGAATACACTTTCTCTCAATCAAAACAAATATTTTCTTTTGTTTATTGATGATTTGACTAGAATGACATGGGTATATTTTTTGTCTAGCAAGTCACAAGTATTCTCTGTTTTTAAGAAGTTTAAAGTGCTGGTGGAGAAGCAAAGTGGCTGCCAACTTAGAATCTTGAGGTCAGAAAATGGAAAGGAATATACTTCCAAGGAGTTTGATGTTTTTTGTGAGGAACATGCTATAAATCATCAATTAACAGTTAAGTATACACCACAGCAAAATGGTGTTTCTGAGAGAAAAAATAGAACAGTGATGGAAATGGCTAGAAGCATGCTTTTTGAGAAGAATTTGCCTAAGAAGTTTTGGGCAGAGGCAGTGCATACTGTTGTTTATTTGCTAAATGGTCTTCCAACTAGAGCTGTTGAAGGTAAAACTCCTATTGAGGCTTGGTTTGGACTTAAGCCTTCAGCTTATCATTTGAAGGTTTTTGGTTCCATATGTTATATGCATGTTCCAGCAACTAGAAGAACCAAGTTGGATGAGAAAGTTGAGATGGGAATTCTAGTTGGTTATGCAGCACAGTCAAAGGGGTACAGAATTTATAATTTGCAGTCTCAAAAAATGGAAGTGTATAGAGATGTTTTAGTTGATGAATTTGCTTTTTGGAGCTGGGATGATAAGAAAATTATTAAGGAGTCTTCTTCTCAGTTAAATGAAGACTTTAATGTTGAACAAAGTGCAGCTGCTACTTCTAGACACCAAAATGTTGCTGAAACTGATCATGACTCACCACCTTTGAAGGTAAAGTCACTTGAGGATGTGTATGCTAGATGCAATTTGGCTACTTTTGATCCAACTTGTTTTTTTGAGGCTTCAAAATATGATGAATGGATGGCTACTATGAAAGAAGAGCTGGCTATGATTGAAAAGAACAAAACTTGGTCACTTTGTCCTAGACCAGAAGGTAAAAATGTAATTGGGGTTAAGTGGGTTTTTAGAACAAAACTTAATCCTGATGGTTCAGTAAACAAGTACAAGGCCAGATTAGTGGTTAAGGGATATGCACAGCAGCAAGGAGTAGATTTTTCTGAGACTTTTGCACCAGT